GGAGAGCAGCAGGCACATCCCATCATGCAGATATTCTGTGCCCCTTAGAAGTCCAGCGCCAGGGATACAGCAATATATATAGATTTTTACTCCTTCCTTTAAGAATAAAAGCCATATACATACATATACATATATAATCTTTTTAGAGTGCAAGAAGTGAGGTATATGGAGTTTTTCACAAAAGGACAGGGGTCTGAAGCTTCAGACCCCATACTGGCTCAGCCCAAACTCCCTCTCCTCAACCCTACTATGCATTCCAGGAAGTTCCCACTGACAAGGAGCAATAAACCTGAGTGTGAAACACAGAGCAATTTCTTGTTTTTGTGTTTTGTTTTCATTTTTTTTCCTTTTGTTTTTGGCGTCAGCTGTATTGGGATTTGGCGGCACTGTCAGGGTGAAGAGCTGTTGGAAGAGGGAGCTGGGGGAGCAGAAGGTGGAGCAACCGATGTGCTACTGGCCCCTCCCATACTGGCAGTTCGGGTGACACTCCCTTTGCTGATTCCAGGCGTTGAGGTAGGAGGTTGAGCAAACAGGACACCTAAGGGTAAGGCATTGATACATGGTTAGAAAAGATTGGAAATTAAACAAAGCTGAAAAACAATATATCATAGACAAAACTGCTTTAACCCCTTCATAACTGAGGCCTTTTTTTCATTTTTTGTACCCATGTTACATTCCACATTTTAGGCCTGAAAATTACTTAAAACCCCCCAACATTATATATTTTCTGAATGCCAAGACCCTATAGAATAAAATGGTGGTAGTTGCAAATTTTTATGTTGTGCAATATTAGCGCAACTCCTTATTAAACTCCAACATTTAGTGAAAAATTTTATTAAATGCCCCAGAACACAACAAAATACCCATTTTTTTAATGAAATATAAAAGATGAGGTTACAACGAGTAAAACGATACCCAACATGCCCAGGTTACAAATTGCGTGCATCCGTAAAACGGCGAAAAACCCCAGTACCCCAAAAAGTCCATAGAAGACGCTTTAAAAGCACCCACAGGTCATCAATTTAGAGATACCCCAAAATACTGGCCCTAGAATTATTGCTCACCCCCGTGTGCGCGGCGATACCCACAA